TTCCTGTATTATCTTTCCTTTAGCTGTTGATTAGTTGTTAGGGGTTATGTTTTCCTACCTGAAAAAACACAAGTCAGCACGGGTGAGGAAAGCTGTCAACTGCAGCATTAACACCATCTCACACATGCACCTAATCCCATGGTCATAAGAAAAGCCTTTGAGTTTCTGAGGGCAATGATCCAAGTCTGGAGAGGCTGTAAATCTGAGAAAGTAACCTTGCTGATTGAAGTCCTGTCCATCACCTACACCTGCACTCTGTTTCCTGCAGTAAAGAAAGGATCAGAGCCATCCAGAGAAAAGGGGTACAAGGCAAAACAAGACAAAAGACAGAGGCTGAATAATGATACAGGGAAATGCAGGGCATGGGAGCAGCACACCAGTTATGGAGGGTTGGGAATTAGTTAATAAATGAGAAATGTCTGTTTCACTGCTGTGTCAGAAAGGCACACAGCCTTCTGGGGAGCTTATATTAAAATGTAAAATTAAAATTGTGTTTCTGATATCTGTGAAAAGCAACAGTGAATTATCATTTTAGCTGTCTCTCCCGTGTGCTGTGATACTGGAAATGATTTAATCAAAGTCAGTCATTGGTATTTGAGTAACAGAAGCCAATGTTTTAGATTATAGTCCTACACTGACTGACTGACTGTCCTCAGCTGCTCTGTGCACCCCTGTGAGAACTACACTACAGCACATTCAGTCTTCAGAATGTGCACCCGAGTTCTGTGATGAATCTGTTTCCTGAAATGCGAAAGCCAATTTTGCTACTCAAATACCCCTTTAATAGTAAACTGTGTTCAGATAGTTTTTATCATGTGATTACCTCCTACCTGTAATTACACCACRTAGAACATTACTTTTAGTAGCTCAGGAATACTTTCAACTTTGTATCATTCTTGAAGTTTTCAAAAACTTTGAAAAGGATGGTGAGAAACATTGTATCACACAGAGGGAAAAATCACTGCAGGAGGTAGACAGTAAAATAAATTTACAAAGAGGTTTGAAATGAGGATTGAAATTGTCTTCTGAGTGTGTTTTATATCTTAAAGCACTTCCAAGTGCAAGGATAGTGAAACACTGAAACAGGTTGTTGAGAGAGGTGGTGGATGTCCCATCCATGGAAACATTCAGGATCAGGCTGGACAGGGCTCTGAGCAACCTGATCTAGTTGAAGATGTCCTTGGTGATTGCAGGGGGTTTGGAATACATGACCTTTAAAGGCCTCTTCCAATCCTATCCATTTGATGATCCAATCCACACGTCTGTCCTAGTCTGCTTAGTGATCCCCACAAAGGACTAGGTTTCTTTCCCTTCTTGTATTGCTTTCTTTCCTAGCTTTAAAACAAAATACTGTCTMTATGTGAGTCCTTTCATAGTTGTACTAGGTTAATATTGTCAGCAATAAAAACAAGCCCCAAACCCTTACCCACTTCCTGCTCTGTGCTTTCTCAGTAGTCAGCTGGAGATGATTTAAACAAGGCCAGCTGTTATTGCACTCCTGCAAAGGAACAGCACAAGCAGGACACTGACCTGGGACGGGCGCTGCCAATGGACAGAGCCTCAGCCATCCCCACAAACAAGCCCAATCTACTTTACAACACAGCACAGCAGTCAGGTTCCAACCTCASTGTTTCTGGAACATAGTGCAGTAAAAAAGCAACAAAACCCCCCAACAGAATACAAGATCTGCCACCACCTCATCTTGCCTCTTATCAGCTTGTTTGCAGGGCAAGAGGAAAGTATACTAAACTTTTTCTTGTTTTTTTCCCCTCTCCTACCCCCACTTCTTTTCTCACAGCACACTACAAGTGAAAGTCTCGGAGCCGCAGAATTCAATAGACATGAACACAGAAAATGAACATTTGAAGTCCATAAAGATGTGCCTTAATCAGCCCACTGAGTGGAATCTGAGTTTTTCAGCAGCATCTCTCGCCAGCTGTAAAGTTTTTAACCAAAATCTCAAAACTGATGAGAACAAATAGATTGCAGCTGTTCTTGCACTATTATTTTGTACATTGTTCCTGATGTTTTTTTCTGCTAAATAATAAGCATTTATTACATTGAAATGATCTTGTGTGATTTGGCTTTATATACTACTAGCATTATTCAGTTTGATGTACTTTTTCTTTTTTAAATATGAAGTTTCACATCTGACCATCATGAAATTCTTGCAGTACAAATATCAGAATCGGATGTTCCCCTTTAATAGTATTGTGATTTTTCTATGTTCTTTAAATTTAACTATTGTTTCCCAATTTTATTTTTGTGCACGAAAGTTAATATATTATGTAATTTGTGGCATAGGTCACCATGTAAAGTTTTATGGTAATAATTCAAACAAATCTGTAACAGGTGGAGACCGACTACCTCGAAGCAAAGCAGTACAAAGGTAAATTATCTGAGGAGATCTCCTTCACCAATGGATTGAAATGTATGGAAGCACCAGTTTGTTTCTGCAGTATGCTTTCATCTTCACATATCTTGAGAACTTCTGTGTGACAGTGTTTAATGACCCTAATGTCTAAAAGAAAGACCAAGCCTGCTGGAGAATCTCATGAAAGATTGTCATTCAACAAATCTGTACCTGCACTTTTTGAGGTTTCTGCTAARTGGTCTTTCTTCCCCATTTGTTTTTATGAATTTATGCCTGCCACCAATTAAAATGGATGTAAATGCTCTTCCTATTTCGTTTTTTCCATGTACTTTGGAAATTCAATGTAAAAATCAAAATTTTATCTCTACTCAAAGAAGTAGTAAATGGTTGTAGCTGACTACATTGTAGACATTCCATGCTTAAATGATCTTAGCAAGGTTCATGTACTTCATTCATCAAAACTTTATTATTAATAGAGCTATAACAAAAGTGTTAGAATAAAACCATATAATATACTTATCTTTTCTGGAGTCATACATTCAGTAGATAGAGTAGAGGTTTCTTAATTCATGATGAGTTATTTGTCCTTTACTTGTCAGTAACTAATTTTCCAGATGGAAACTTCCTTGGAAAACACTGTATTTTATAAAACAAAGGTTTTAAGGATTTACCTTAAAAAAGTGAAGATGCAATTCCTCTTTACAGAGGTTTGTTGGTTTGCAGGTGCAATCCAGTGACTGAAATAAAGAGATGGTTATGAATTCGGGTGTCACAAGATCCCAAGAAGGTACTGAGTCACTGAAGCATGAGACATGATTTAAAAGTGCAGAATGTGACTAAAAGAATAAACAWTCATTATGTTTAGTGCTGTTTATAAGGTCTGTGTATCTCAACTATTTAATGCATGTGGATTCTGTGGGGCAAGAAAGCCAAAAGGAGAATTAAACTTCCCAGGCCAGAGGCACTGAAATTGACCTCAGTGGAGCCAAAGCACAAGAATCAGTAAGAAGTCAGGTGGGATATGAGAATCTTACAATGGAGCCAATGCCGCTGGAATTGTGTTTGTGTGCTCATGGGAGRAGATGGCTCACGGATTTTCTGATTTCCAAGACCCACTAAATACCAAAACCTTTCTGGTTTGGACATGCCCCTCTCATCTCCAAGTAGGAGCCTTTAGTTTTGTTAACAACTACTATTATTATTCCTTTGAATCACATTGAGTTTTAGTTGGCTGCTGACTCAAGAGTTTTCAGGTATAACCTGAGCTCASCAGCCCCTACTGGCCTCAGCTTCGAGAGCAGCTAGCCAAAGGCCTGTTCCCAAGAGAAGGGGTTTTAGTGTGTAGGCTGAAGACACTGAATACACRAGCAAACCAAAACCACAGAATTGGTTTTAAGAAACAAAAACTTGGGTGGGAATAAACATGGGATCTCTAAGTTTGACAAGTAACCACTACTATTTTGCTATTATTTAACAGGCAATCAAGTCTAGGTCTAGTGTGGTTCACATTTGACACAGTGTTGTATTTAGCCAGCAAAAAGAGGAGGGATGCACAGTAATSGGTCCAGAGCAACAAAGAGACCATTTTAAAATCAACTAAAGTATTTTAGGAATTAAAATTATATTCCTTAATTAAGCAGCCAGGAAGCTAGGTACTTTCAATACAYAGAATTAAAGTAGAAACATAATTTTGGCTAGAAGGAGTAAAGGATAACAAGTCAAGATTTTTTTCACTGCAAGGAAGATACCTCCAGGCTTGGGTCCTTGGCATCATTGGATGTATTCTTGCTACCATGTGACTCTCTCAGAAAGACAGCTGCATATATTTAAACCTTGATTATCAGTAATAATGAACTTTGAAAGAAAATGCACACATCTGTTCATCCCACCCTGCAATTATGCAGTCACCCCTCCTGGAAAGGTAATTTTATAAGAACACATYGAATTTTGTGTTATACAGAAAACCCTACCCTTTACAGGAAGTTGGGCAGGCAATGTGCCCAGAGGGGCTGGAAATTCAATGCCAGTTGCTGGTCAGGTTTCTGGCCTGAAGGGATCCCAGGGTAAGTCAGGTATAAAAGGACATCAGGAAGGTTCATAGTCGTACACCCTGCTCAAAGGCTGCCAGCTGTGAGTACGGAACACCTAGACCTGTCTTAAACTCCCAGGACAGAACCTGCACAGCCTCTGCGCAGGCAACCAGTTYCAGCAGTTCTTAACCTGTTCCACTGCCTTTCTCACCTTCTATTCCGGTCTGAGTTTCAATTTATACCCATTGTTTTTATATTCTCCCATCATATGCAACAAAAAGCCCAATTCTATTTCTTTACTGGACTCCTTGCAGGTAACTGGGGATCCTCCCAACACTCACAGGCTGAACAAGCCCAGCTTCCTCAGCCTCTCCCATCATGGCGGGACTCCAGCCCCACACCAGCCCTGGGAGCCTCCAGTTAGGCAAAGTCTGTTTTCTATTAACACACACCAGTGAAGCCACATCCATAGCAGAGGCATCTGCAGACTGGGAGGTGACTTAAGGGAAACTTATCTTTTCAGTCCAGCATTCCTAAGAGATGCCAAAGACAGAACCTGCATATGTGGCAAGGCACAACAGAATAGCAAGAACTAGTCTTAAATTTGTTCAGGAAGATAGATTTTTATTGCTCCTGCTTTGCCTTGAAACTCATTTTAAGAGTGGACTAGCACCAGTTGTTGAAAGTGTAGTGGTGCTTAAAGCGCAAACCACTCAAGAGAGGGAGGATGAGAGACCTTGTAACTTAAAAAAAACCCCAACACTAAAGCCCCAGTTTGAGAAATTTCCCCAGTTGAGAAAAACAGTGATATACTTTGCCTATTCCAACTATCTTCAGGCAGCATTCAAGGGGACAGAGCATCTCTGATCTAAAGGGGCTGCTATGGACACAAACTCATACTACAACACAATTGGGGGATTTGAAGAGTTACCAAAAGAGGGAAGTCAGGACCTCATAATTGTGTTTAAAATTACAGAAATAATTCATCACAGTTACAGAAGCTTCTGAATAGAGCAAATAACAGCAGAAAAGTTTGTCATGGCATTTTGAAGTTTGACAAGTTTCCAACAAAAACTGCAAAGGATGAAAAGCAAGAAAAAAAAATCTTATTTTCAAGTCTGTTGTTAACTACCATTGTTGACAAAGATACTTTCTTCTTTTGTCTTCACTAATCTGTTTCCTCATCCAACAGTCTTGAAAGATTCATTCGGGTTTTCTCCAGTGCCAAAGTTTTTGCTCGTCTTTGAGGCCTTGAACTTGACACTGGGACCGGTYCTGGAATTTGATCACAACTGAAACATAGAATATTTAAGAGTAAAGTAAAAAAGACTAAGCAAACTGAAAAGCTTTTACAGGAACAAACTTGAAACATTGTCTTAAAGAGCAAAAATACTTCTTACCAGTTATAAACTTTCTATTTTTTGAGAATATATTGGTGTCTTCAAAGTGATATAGCAGGATCAGTAAAGATAACCAAGTGATAAACAGTTGCAAAACAAGCAAAACTCCCCCAAAATTAGGTGGAATCAAAGCAAATATAGCAAACAGGCAAATGGGAGAGTCCAGACTAAATGAATTACTTGCTTAAGCAAGAGAGAGCACAGCTGAAAATTACAAAGATAACATTTTTTTTAATGCTTATATCCTGCGAGATGATAAGGGAAGAAATCCATTGTCTATAGTCACTTCTCAATCATTTCTAGAAGCTTATCAACTACTTATTGGACAATAAGCAACAAAACTGGAAAGGGCAGAAAATAATTTAAATTTTAAAAACTGACAATTCCACAGAACAAATTAAAAAGTAGACAGAACTAATTGGAAGAGCCATAATGTATACCAAAAATCTGTTTTTTTTTCAACTAGAATGTCTGTTGACTCAACACACAAAAGGCATATTAAAATCATTATTACAGGCTCCTTGATACAATCTGCCACTGTTTCAAAAGTACCAGTTCAAAKAAATTTTTTTTTCTATTTATCTGTTTTTTAGGAACAGAGGATATCAAACACACAAGTTTGGGAAAGACAAACATTTGAATTAAATTTCCTTGCTAGAACAGACATCATGGTTTTCATGGTGGGGAGACAAGGATTTACCTTTCATTACCACGTTTTACACTTGCACCAGTTTTTCTTCTGCTCATAGACCTCACTTCTGCTGCTGCTTTCTGTTGTCCTAAGTTAAAAAAAAAAAGTCTCTTTTCATATCTTGATACAATTTATTTTCTTAAACTAATTTTGTATCTATCTTTCTTCAGTGTTTGATATTGCATTGAAACACAGAAATAACAGCACAAACAGAATGTGGTCACAAAACAAAACCAATAAAAAAACTCCCACAATTTTCCACTTTTCCCAGAAACACCTGTTCATTACTGTCAATGGCTATGGTTTGGTCATCTGCAATCCTGTAGTCAGTGTTTTAATTTTTCTTTTAATCTATGTTATTGAGAGAGGGTAACAGCACAAAAATTTCCACAGAACAAACTAGTTTAATATTGTAACAAATAAAATTGTAAAAGCTATAACAGTGTATGAATGCCTTTCCCATCTACACATTCACAAGCAATTAGTATGAAATTATTTTATTAAAAACTACTAATATTGTACCCTCTGTACCTTTGCCAGCTCTGCTTCTTGTAGATCTTAATTTTGCATTTTCTTTAACTTCATTAACTGGAGTATGAAGAGCATCTTTATTATTTTCTGTTAAACAGAATAACACATGCAGAAGTCTTAAATTAAAAGTTGATTATCTTAAGTACCAGTATGTTAAGTACCAGATTATCTTAAGTAYCAGTGGCTATTATATTAAAAAGCCCCACAACTGAACCCCACCTTTTCTTTAAACCAGAAACTAGATAATAAGGCTAACAGGAAGCTGAAAATGTCCCTCAGCTGTAACTGCCCCAACAAAGGGCAATTATACCTAAACTATTCCTGACAACTGTTTAGCCCCTTTCAATGTGTTGGAAGCCAAGCAAGAGGGACAGAATATCAGCTTGTCTGAAGAGGGTCCTCCTTGCGGAGCTCAAGAGGAAAAATGAACTGTAAAATCTGAGCACAGATCATGCTTTGCAGGAAGATGAGAGTGGGGGAGAAGGCACAAAAGGCCAAAGTTCAATTACAGTTGAACCTGGTCAGTGTTTTATAAGATAGTAAAGAAGGACTTTTGAAAGTATGGTAAAAGCAGGTGGAGGTCCAAATAAAACTCTGGACAAACACTTGTTGAAGATGGTCAGTCACCTGACTAACAGGAATGGAGATAAAGCAGAGCTATTCAGTGCTTTATTTGCCTAATTCTTTAATGTTACTGATGTTACTAATGTTAGAGATGTTACTTGGGCTGCCTAGTCCTCTGAATCAGAGGATCATGGCTGCAGGAASAGTGATTTTCCATTTGAGGACACTGAAATCATAAGGGATCAGCTCTAACAGCTGAATGTCCATAAGCTGAACATGAGCCAGTGGGTRATATCCAGGCTTGTACCAGAGACTTTGTGGCCAGCAGAACCAGGGCAGTGACCATTCCCCMGTGCTCAGCATTGATGAGGCCACACCTCAAATCCTATGGTCAGTTCTGGGCCCCTCACTGCATAAAAGACATTGRGGTGCTGGAGTGAGTTCAGAGAAGGGCAACAGAGCTGAGGAAGGGCCCGGAGCACCTGTGTTATGAGGAGCAGCTGAGGGAGCTGGGGGTGTCTCCCAARTCCTATTGCTTCTTATTTTCACAATGCTTAACTATTCACTGAATTGTATACCTGTTAGTGCACCACACCTCTTCTGAATTACCTCCTTCATTGTGAACTGTATTTTCAGACAATGGGATGTCACTTTGCTGTGTCCTTTCAGAGAGACCYGTTTCCTCAGTTCCTCCAGAGTGGTTTTTGCTCACATTAGCACCCTTGGTCAATTTCATTTGGATCTTCTCAATAGCTTTTAGACACGGTTTATCTTCCACTTTCTGGAGAGCAGACATTTAATGTTAAATGCTACAAAAATTTACAAGTATTTATTTTATCTATTAAATTTGACTACTAATGGGATTAGTCGAAATGACTGCACAAGGGATACGATGTGTGACATGAATGTGACCAGTCAAGCTGAAAGGAGAAACACTTTCTCCATCAATACTAGGCACCAAAATCCTTTCTTTTTTTCCATTTTTTTTAAAGGATGCCTAGAAAAATTCAACTGGACTTGGAGTACAGCTGGAGTACTTCTGGAAGATATGCCCATAGTGGATTCAGCAATCTTTTCAACTTTTCTGTGTTCATGTGCCACACTTCAAATTTTAATCTTTTTCCACATTAATAAAAGCACCAAAGTAAAACCCTTGTAATCCCTTCCCACTTCATCTTAAATCAAGCACCCTTTTCATGCTGCCTAGTGATTTTCCCATTATATTGTAAGTTTAGGTGTAAAATTTCAGCTGTTAATAATTAACTAAAGATAAACCCCCAAACTACAAGACATTATACTGGATTTTAACTTTGAGAAAATAACTACACTACAGTTATCAAAAGAACTTACTGTATTGTAGTGTATCAAGTTAGGCACACTTTCCTGCTGGTTATACTGTCTATGGTTTATGCAGTGATACCAGCTCAGATTTTTGTAAATTACTCAAAAACTAGTTTTCAAAGACTGCTTAAAAGAGAAATTCCAGTCACATCATCATAGTAAACAGAAGGTACCCAATTTTTAAGCATATCAAAATATTAGATTGCTAATAATTAAAAAAGTAAGAACCATGGTATTTTTGTACTACCTTTTGAATCTCACTGAGCAACACCAGAAGATCCTCTGTAGAAGAACTACTGAGTTCTAATGAATTTAAAGCTTTTGCATAAATACGGACATCTGGTGCAGTTGGGTCTGCCAGGATTTCATTGCAAATTTTCATGGCTAAAGTATCATGYACTGTTAACTCCTGAAAAAAAATGAAATTAGGTATCATTTTGCTGAGAACTATTTCCAAGAGACAGCAGTGAGAACAATCTGATTCAAACAGTTGGCTAATTTTACAGAGCAAACATTTTCCTAAAATGCAGTATTTTCAATACATTCAGTGATTCCCAATATAAACAATTAGCCATGTGCAAGTTCCTGCTAGTATTTTTAACTGTTAAGAGGGAGGGGAAATTGAAGGGTGGAAGAAAACGGGAGGGAAGTGTCAAGCTAAAAGACTTCATTATCTGAATAGTCACTCAGATAATCCAACTACTGACAGWGGAAATCGCAGAGAGGGCCAGACAGGTAGCAGTAAGTAAATGGGGGGTAGTTCTTAATCTGATACAGGTATTATCTTCCTACAGTTGAACACATTGTACCTGATAGTCCTGAGATTTCTTGGACTGGCATTTTAGTCTACTTGGTCTGGTCAGGTCCACTAACAGTTCAGAAACATTACTGATATCTACTTCAGCCAAAGGTGATGTTGCAGGAGCATTTAACAGTGTTTGCAGAGTTGGAAAATAAGCTTCTTCAAAGCATTCCTGGTTAGATCTGTTTCAGTGAAGTCAAATATTAGTAGCATATAATGAGACAAAGTTTGGTTTACTCTTCCATGATGGAAGTTCACAATAGCCATCAAGATCAAGGTATCAAAACTGTTTCATAGAACCAATTAGAATTTTAGCACATCATATTTCAAGCAAATTTTAAGTAGCACTTCCTTCCTCTGAAGAATTTGAACACTCATCCTTACTACTGAAAACTCAACTGATATATAGTCATATTCTGTCTATTTGAAGGACAAAAGAATACATTTTCATAAATACATTTCTCTTAATTGTTTTCATAGATTAATCTTGTTTTCTGCTCATTCCTCCTTTCTGCTAGCATTTTTCTTTGGGGTTACTTTTCATTGTGTAAAAAAGCAAGGAAACCTGGCAAAAAAAGTATGCAGTGGTTAACAGGATTTTTGGAAGAAATATTCATGCTATTTTCTCAGAAGAGTTCATAACTCCTGCCAAGCAAGTCTAAAAATCATGTTTCACTTGGTTCTGCAGCAAGTTGTCTGAAAGTGTGGTTCCACAAGATTTGTCAAAACAATTTAACAAGTAAGATGTCAAGAAACTAAACGTACTAGTTGAAGTGAAGCCTTTGCTCTTTCTGGTATTTATATTAACTTCCTACCTGAACCCAAATAATGACAAGAGAAAACCAATACAGGAGATAATTTTTTTAAAAGCAGATCATTTGCTGCTGTATTATGGAGCCAAACCAGCTGACACGAAAACCTTTTGAACACTATAACTGGCTACAAATGAACCAAAGCAAGAACTCTCCCTTTCAGCAGCTTTAACGCTTTAGATTGGCTCAAGAACAACTGAAGTATCATCCAGATTATTTTCTGTAAACTAAAAAAATACCTCTAATAACATATAGGCACATGGCAGAAGTTTCTCCTCTTAGGCTGAGAGTTTAATACTGTATAGAAGACATTCTAGAAATAAGAATTGTTTACTGGTTACAGGATCTTGTTCCTATTACAGCATGTCATACCACATTTCTGATATGACAGATTAATTAAAAAGTCAGCATCAACATTTTTTTCCTCAGAGTTCAAATATTTCATTCCATAAGGTAAGCCTCTTGATTATATCTGTGACCAGACAGAAAGACTAGCAGAGCAGCACCCAGAAAACAAATGGCATTTTTAAATTCAGTCAGAAATCAGTATCAAAATTCAGGTGTGAGCCTCAGCCAAATYGCATTTATTACCCAAATTCTCCTTTACTGAATGGCAAGTTTGCAGACAAGTTCTGAATTACACATAGTATTATTTGCTTCTAATAATACAGTATCAGTAACTGAAGAAAGTAGATTACTCAACTTAAAATGGACCATTTGTGATCCAGGATGCAGATAATATTTTGAGATAGAAAAGAAATGAAATTTCCTAATTAAACAGAGATTCTCAATCAATGAGCCAGACTAAGACTTAGAATTTTTCTCCACAGATCTTTCTGATTTTTGCTTAACACAACACACCATGCTATTTCTTCAAGAAAAATATCATCTATGAGGTGCCACAAGAAGTTGCCTCATTTGCAAATGACATGGAAATACACAGGATTACTTAGGTGAGCAATTACTAGAACTCATTAAAAAAAAAATTCACACCACCAGAAGATGATATTCAATAGTGAACGTTTATCAAGTTACAAGCTTAAAATCATTACTCATTATCAGAGATACTGAAAACATGAAATAATTTTCTTCTATTACTCTCCTAAAAACTTAAGCAGGGAAAACCCCATTCTGTAAGAAACTGGGTATTTTTCTTTCATTTTTTTTTACTGACAACAGCAAAAATATATTGCTTAAGGGTTTTTTGCCTTTCAAAACAATTACCCTTTGTACTACAGCTCTTAATGTGGCAATATATAGGCCACAAAAATGTAATCCAATTTGGTCTGAAAAACAGATAAAGTAACATTTAATACACCTACATCAAAACTTAACCATAAAAAAGCAGATAAATACTCAGTTCATTCTAACTTGATAAAACCACTAGCAGCTACTGAAAAGTAAGCTAAATAATTTTTTTACAGCAGTTAAAAGGAGATGAGAATTGCTATTTAAGCTCTCCTTCCCCTACAGAGGCTCTCTACCTCCTTTGTCCACCACCAAAATAAACAGGAGATCTGAATATGCTGTGAATTTAAATTGGAGTATTCCTTGGTTCAAAAACAAACCAAAAACAAACCCCAAACCRTAGCCCACCAGCCTGCTGATTTGATAACTGCTGGCCACTGATTATTTTCTTTTGAAGCATTTCTGCTAGCTACATTTTAGTGACACTTCAAAGCCTACCTGTAGTGTTCAACAGCATAAATAAGTAAAGCACATCYTTTAAAATTAATTTTATTCTGTATCTTTGAGAACAGTTTCAATTATAGGCTTAGGAAAGAAAAAACATGARGAAAGCCACAGGGGTAAAAGGAAATTAATGGAAAATCTTAATGGTCACAGGTTGAGATTATTTACTTTCAAAGGCAATTTGCATAGGAGGCTGAATTAGATGTCTAATTTGCATTTGTACCATTTCTACTTGTGCAAGACCAAAAGCAGGTTCCTAAAGCTGCTAGATCAAAGTATATTGTCATATAATGAATTGCAAAGATGATTACCTATTTGCATAAGCAAATAAAGGGAAGAAAACTCCCAGACAATGTCGAAGCCGAGTATCCTCTTCAGTCACAGGATTATACCATAACAAAACAAGACGAGAAAGGAGCTTGGCACTGATCAGCCTCCCAGAAAACATCAGTTTGGCAATGCCTTCTGCAGCTTCTGTCCTAAGTTCTGAAAACTGAAGAAAAAAACTCATCATACAACCAGTACACCAACCATAATATTTTTCACCAATACTTTATTGTAATATCCTATACCAATCAATTCTCTAAATTCATGTATTTACACCTGTATAGAATGCAAGGCAGCTCAAGAGTAATGTTAGTCTGTACCAGTGACAAATTTATAGTAAATTTCTAGGACAGGTATTTTAATATTAAACCATAAATTTCAGTTCATACCACATAATATTCTGATGCAGCCTAATGGGATGATAAGCCCTCTGCAAAAATAATTTAAATATTATTACAAACAAAACTAAGGGAAATTTCTGGTATTCCTTACCTCACTGTCTAAGAAACCAGAAAGAAGCTTCAGAAGGCTGTTAACTGTGGCAGTTTCCTCTTCCTCCTCTACTGTTGCACTTTCATCCTCACCATTTTCAGTCCTACTKTGTGCACTTTCACTTTGAGAGTCATTGTCTCTTCTGGTTTTAAAAGGCTCAATTCCAAACAGCATTAGTTGATCAAAGATTGCCTTTAAAGCACCGAGCTTGATCTTTATGTTATCTATTTGTATAATCTAGGTTTGATAAAGAAAATAAACACATCATCTTCTGGTAGACTACCAATCTTGAAATTAAGCATAGTAATATTTTGCCTTCAATAAAACTGATTATTTTTGGGAAACTTTTGTAATACTTGGACCTATTTTCAGACTTAAGCAAGGTGTGATGCAAATTTAAACCAGAATTTATAATACCATCTGGGAAGCAATTTAGCAAGTCATCTATGCMATTTGCACTACACAAAATCAAATTAATTTCACCCACAGAGTAAGCATCCCTGTGTGAGATGTAATTTTATTGTTCAACCTGTAAACAGACACTGGACAAACAGAAAGTCTGTTTGCATGTGGTAGGTCCAGAATGTCCAGCATCACAGATATATAGCTTGATAAAAGTATGGCTTAATTAAAATCAACAGTATGAAAAAAGACAACAGGGACCAAGGGAGTAATAAAAGTCAAAGTTACATAGATTACTATATGTATCATAGTTTAAATTAGCATGTAAGTAAAATCATTCATCATGGGTTAGCCCAGAGAGTCTACACCTGTTTAGCGCAACACCCTCCTTCTGACAGCAGCCTATACAGAGACTGGGGTTTAGGAACTGCAGAAATAATTACTTAACTCAAAAATTTAAGCTAAAGTAACTGAAATCCTCCCTAAACAACCTTTCTTTTTTAATGGGACATACTCAAAGGCAAATTCGAAACAACAGTAAATGCTAACATTTTAGGAACCCGAAGTTCCCTACTATGACTGACAGCTCCACCATTTTGTCTGAGCCAAGCGTATCAGCTTAACACCTGCTGTCATTTCTCAAATGTCTACCGGAACACACTCTTAAAAATGCACAATGGCCACCTACACTTCCCTCAAAGCCAGGGTMAAACACATCAACAAGTGTCATATTTTCTATAATTAGCTTGGTATCAGAACATTCACCACAAGGATTGAAACATAATTTCATTTCTGATCAGACTTTTTACCTGTAACAGCAATGGAAGTTGTTGTTGGGCAAATTCTTTATTGTGAAGGGTACAGCAACCCAAACACAGGACTGCCATATTTCTTACAGCTGGGTGAACATTAGTTATGCCTGGAAGTATCTGAAAACAATAATTTATGGATTAAATATAGAGATGGAAAATAAAAGACTGACTACTAATATGCTTACCCTGAAATTAAAAATAATTTCGTTTGATAGAAGATTGGAAAATGGCAACTACCAAATATTCTGTTTATCTAGATATAAACAGAAGCAGATTGAGTATGATGTTTAAAATCAGCAACAAAATAATGGCAGAAGTCRCATGAGTGTTTTGCTTTGTGTTTGTTTTTAACAAATATTTGTTTTCAAACAAAATGGAATTGATCACTCTGGAAAATAAAAAAAACCAACACACAATAACAAGCCTACACAATGTCATAAAAGACATTAACATTCTTGCAGAGAAACAATACCCAGTTCCAAGTTGCAAAATACAGATGCCATTTTGATGTCTTTGAGAAGACAATTGTAAMAATCCACACAAAACCAGACTAGATACAGTATGAACAATAAAATGGCATTATTTTATATTTTTGCATTTACTAAAGAGTTCAAGTTCAAAAAAAAAAAAAACAAGTGTGCCAAATTGCTTAATATGTGAAAATCCAGCAGGAACATCAATACAGAAGCAAGATCTTGGAGAATGAAAAGTGGAATAAACAACAAATGAAAATTAGAGAAAGACCAAATGAAAAGCTTTTTGGAATACACAGCACTAATTAGGATTTCTAAGAATACTTCTATACATCTGAAAAACATTAGGTGTGGTTCCACTATATTTAAGCAATTTACTTTGCAGTCTGAATTCTAAGAATGCGCTTTCTGAGGTCATCCAGTCAATTGTCTCCTTATCAAAAGATCAAATCCAAATTACATAARCAGACTAAACAGATACTTCCTAAGGATTCTTGTCAAAGTCCCACGAATTTGCAGCTGAGAGACACCAGAGCTACAAAGTAGCTGTATGTACCTAATCACTCCATATGTATTTTTCTTGAACTTGCTCAGTACTCCTTGATATTTGTCCAAGTGTTCACCATAAACACATCCTGTGACAAGGAATTCCACAGATTACAGATTAGGTGAAGAAGTGACTCATTTCATTTGTTTTAAGCTTGCTAGTGGATAGGTTTGTGTGGTGATCAACCAATGCTCACTCACTTTTCTCCCATGTCTTATGACTTCTGCCCTCTTTCAGGCCCTTATATCCTTCAGTYCTCTCCAGGTTACAAAGAGAGAACCTATTTAGACATTCTTCAATAGCATCCATTCCATACTTTTCCTTGCTGCCTGGTTAGAAGTTTGTGATATTTAGAAAAAAAAAATCTCTATTTTTTTCAATGGAAACCAGGAAGTATATCTTGTAGACTACAAGAGCCCAAYAATGCCAGTCTTATTTTTCAATACAAAGATATTTTGCTCTTCAAAGGAAAAGAACGATAGGGGGGGTGAGGAGAGTCTTTCCTTGTAGAGGGAGGGAGAGGGAGGGAGGAGGGAGAGGGAGGAGGGAGAGAGATCTGTATGAATTCCAGTCCTTCATAGTTAAAAAGCTTTTGACTAGAAACAACAAAATGTCAAAGCCAAAACAAACAACCAACACCTACAAAAGTTCTCYATTAGAGCTCTCAGAACTTTGGGTGATAGAAAATCCAATTAAGGGCAGTAAGCAGACAGCTAAGCACCSCACTTAGAACACTACAATTCAGCCTTGTCACACATTTGTCAAATATTCATCATATTCCTCTTGTTCTGTAGTATCTCTCTGCCACAACCAGTTCTGAYATCGGAGCTCAGAACAACATTAAGTGTACTTATGTTGAAAACACTAGGTTCTGGGAAGGCTTAAAAGCACCAAACACAGCAAAGTCATTGTGAAGTAACCACAAAACCTCCTGCCAGTACCCAAGGGTCAGTTTTGATGTATCCATTTTCATTATAATGTAAACACTATTTTGTATTCCTACATACCAGAGACTGAATGATTGCATTAATGGTTGGACTGATTCCTTTAGAAAGCGACATGATCTTCAGAAGCTCATAACACATGGTCAGACACTTCAACACTGTTTCAGGATCATTCTTGAAGTTGGTCAGGGAAAAGAGAAAAATACTATCAATATTGAGTGGTGACTATGATAAGAAGAATGGGGCCATTAATCGTAATTTTTCTCTACCCAAATAAACATTTTATGTCCACATTTGCTGTGCACAAATATTATTCATCATCTGTCTATAAACTATGATCACAGTAAATTCCTTTTCATGTTTTCAGTTAGTTATGAGTAAAAGGAGTAAGAACAAAGCCCATTTAGAAATCTTTAGTTATTCAAAGACAAAAGAACAGTTCAACTGCAATTCATTTTTTGCTAGAGCATATACCACCACCTTCTATACTTGCAGAAAGAATACTAATRCCATAAATATTTGGTTTGAATTTTAAAAACGTATTTGAGACAAGGCCAAGCTATATCTTCTTTTAAAACTAAGTATAAATGTTAAAACATAACCAGCACTTAGGAAAACAAGAAGGGAAGGAACCTTCTCCACATGTATTTCTTTAATTTCAGCTTGCTCTGCTGCTTTTAGGAGATCATTTTTTGTGTGTTCCAACTCAGTTATTTGATCTTTTAATACTGATGCTCTGTTAAAGTCCTGAAGAGTAATGCATTCTTCCAAAGCTTGTTTTGCTTCAAAAAGTTTCACTTTTATTTCAGCCAACTGCAATACAAAGTAAAAAGAAAATGAATATACTAACCTCTGTGATATAAGCCAACAATACACTATTAACAACAGCCAATAATAACCTACTATATAAAACTCTAGATGGATAAACTTAAAAAAATATTTTTCTTATTAATTAAAATCTGCTCACCTTAAGCTCCCGCCTTCTTATTTCAGCAGCATCAACAGGCTGGTCAACTGCAACAACTGGCTCACGAACTTCTGATATAATTTCTGCAATCTATTGTTACAAATAGTATTTTAGTGCCATTAACTGCAGTTCAGATATATACTAAGCATTTAACTTTTCCAAGTTTAAAATACTGTCCTTCKGAAAAAGTATTGCACATCTGTGCAGTTTCTCTTAACAGCTTGYTCCCTGCAAATAAACCCTCATTGGACAACACGTAACGTGACCATGAGCCTGGTGTCTTCTCCCATTCAGCTGGGTAAGCAAGGAACAAGATGACTTTTAGTACCTATCTGAGCTAACAGGAGGGAAAAGAAATATGAAACCTGGAAATCTACATCATCTTCATTTTGAATGTTCTGGTCAAAACACTTTGCATCTAATATGATAAAGTATTAGGGAACAGGGTACAGTATTAGGGAGCACTTTCCTGGTTTTAGGATTGTATTTACAACACCAGTCAAGTCTTTAAACATAAAGGTCTTTAGAAAACCACAAAATGCAGATATGTTAAAAGCAAAAAAAAAAAAAGTGTGACTTGAGTCTAAGGCATGTGCGTGTCAGAATGAAAGCTCAGATCTAGACCAAGAAAAAAAAAAAAACCAAACAAAAACACACAAAAAAACCCCAAAACACAAAAACCCAAACCAACAAAACCAAACCAAAAAATATTCAAAAACAACTAAAGGGGGAGGAAGACAATATTTAAATACTGGTATTTCTTTTACAATGCTGCATAAAGGCTGTTTGATTTATGGGGAATACAGCAACTAAAAAACAATAAGGTTTTACAATTACTTACAATTTGAATCCTTCTGTCCTCATCCTTAATAATACTGAGCAATCTTTCAACAAGAAAAGGTATAAGTGCTGCTGAAGTTGAAGGTAAAATAAGAATCTTCTGTAAAATAACTAACAGATGCTTTCTGCATTAGAGAAAAAAAAAAACCAAACAAACAATGTTTGCTTATTCAAGAAAATGGTAGACATAAAGGTTACTATCCTACCAACTTGGAGATAGTATGATGAAGACTTTGTAATAAAGTATGACAGAAACTTTTCTCCATAGCTACATTAACTGCCATATAAATTTTACTTAGCAATATTTTCCTTCTGCCAATTTTACTTGGGTTTTCTTGATTAGAAAATACTGAATTTTTTTAAAATCAACTGKTACTATCGTCCAAAGAAAAGTCATACCAACAGAAAACAGACAGTATCAATACTGCAGAATGCTTTCATAGAAATTATTGACTGAAAACTAAAAGAAAAAAAAATTACAAGTTAAAATGKCCTGATAGTCTGGCACATATTTACACATTCCATTGAGAGTTTGAAATTACTGCTGTGTTTATTCTATCATAACTGCAGTTTTTCACAAAATGCCTAAAATGGTATGAATTTCTATATTCACTTGTTCTTCCYACTTCACACCAAAAGTCTGTTCAAATCAGAAGAATGACTTGGTTAACACAGTCCAATTTAGCTGGACATCTAAGATATAAACCCAAGAAACAAAGAGGCTGCTTGCTACAAGTCATCTGTTGTGAAGTAATCGATTTTTCTCCTTTTATTTTTTTAAACTATGCTCCAAAWAAACAGTCTTGTAATTTCACCTCAATAATACTTAATGAAAACATCTGAATTTGCTCTTCCCAAACAATGTTGCATCTGCATTAAAACTTACTTTTCCATAAAAGTAAGCAGACAATATCTGACACAATTTTGGGACCAATTCCATTAAGGAGATTGCTTTGTATTCCACCTAGCATTAGAACKGTATTTTGTCTGTTTGATCAGATTATTTTCCCAACAAAGGCTCTATGCCTATCCTCAGGCATAAATTGTCATAAGTAAGTAACACAAATTGGATATTTAAGTTTACCTTCCTCCCTCTTCCATGATATCCATGCAGTCTATGATTAGAATCAGTTGCTGGCCTATAAATTCTTTTGTCATCAGGTTTTCAAAACAATTAAAGTCTTCTTTTTGTTCTTCGCTAAGAACTGGCATATTTTGAAGGTAACTGAATCCAAATAGAACAGATACAATTACATTCAGATTCACTGTTGGACAGTAATAAATAATTAAATAAATAAACACAGCCTAAACAAATCCAAGTATCTACTCCTCCCCCACACCCAAGGAAAAATCCCACCACTGTCCTGTCCTGTATAAACAAGTGGTATGCTAGTTACCTTAAAAATTAATGTTTATGTTCTTTCCATAGATTAGTGTTTTCAGAAAGTTATTTATACCAAATAATGTACAGTTTCAAAATAATGTACTTAATTTTTAAAAATCCCTTTCATGAATGTAATACAATAARAAGAATGTAATACAATAAAATGACAAGTAATGCTTGTAATATGTGATTTCAGTTCTGTAAAAATGCATAAAGGTAACATCTTAGGAACAAATGTATAGAAGTACCATTTTTCTTATATTTTCCACATACTTAGGTACTATGTATTTTTCACAAGTTCAGAATTGCTATATTGCTTACAAGACAAAATACAAGAAAATCATGAAAGTGTACAGTGAATTCYTAATCTGATGAAATACATCATCACAGAATAAAAATCTGTTGTCAGATAAAATAACACTAGATACACTGAGCCATATAGCATGGAAAGTGTTCCATTTCTTTATTTTTCTAGACTCAATTGTTATTTTATCAAAATTTTATGTACCAGTGAGAGTTGAGCCTTTTCAGAAAATCTGGAGTGAAAGATATAATATACAAAATTCAATATGGAATAGATTGTCTCAAAATTTAATTCAAATATTGACATGAGCTGTGAAAAAGATGCTTTTTTTCTACCACAGCTTTGTAGATATATTTCAGCAACAACTTGCTATTTTTACCAATTTTAAAGATTTYTTCTAATTAAGAACAAAAAAGCTTTGGATATAGCTACTATCTAAGAACATCTGAAATGAAAATGTAAGTGTTTCTGATMATTTAAAAATAATGTCACCTGTACCAGATAACAGTGAATAAATTCAGCTTGCAATCCTGTCTTTTTTCTGAAATACCAATGACTTGTGTTTTCTTGCTCCTCCTCACCAACATCCTCACAGTGCACTACACAGTTGTACACTGTACACCAGAGGACTGCAGAATTGCAAAGCTTATCTGAAACAACTGATGGCACAGCTCAACAATTAAAAGATGATACCATAAACAATTACTAGCAAACCTAATTAATTCTAATAGCCTCACCCTGAAGAGGAATGTAACTGAAGGTACTTTGAGTAAGTTTGGATGGAAAGAGAACAAATCTTCTCTTGAAGAACAACTTTTTTTGGCAAAAAATGCTTATGGACTGTTAAATTCATTATGAATTAATAAATTTACATCCACCAGACTGGATATACACTTGAAAACTAAGAAAGCAGAGCTGCCTCATTTCTCAAATGTTTATGAAACATGTTAACACATCCCACACTGAAAAGTAGCAATGACTACTGTTACTACTACCAGTATACCACACCCAGCACAGTGAGAAAATAATATGTGTATTTTTAATTGGAAGCATCCATCAATACAGTGCATTTTTTTTCAGATCTAATTTATACAGGAAGTTTCACTCTGTTTTATAAGTACAATACCTCAGTTAAGATTTCCCAGCATGATCCATGCTCAAAAGCAAACCCTGTTCAAAATTTATGTTAATACTAAAGAATCCCACAGAGACAAAAAAAAAAATCCATTCTTTGCTTTGGTAAAAACATGGACTTAAAACATTCATTTCCACCCTCCTGCCCCCTCCAATTAAATAACTGTTCTGTAACTGGCTCATTTTGCAGCTCTGTCTCTGGCTTCATACATAATTTCAGACAGAAGCTTTTGGGAAGCATGCCTGCCTGAGCGGGCAAAAGAGAAGGGAAGTTTCAATTCAAAAATGTTTCTGTTAGGACAGCATCCAAATTTTACTTTATTTTCACAAATGACAACAATGGAAGAAGTGTCAGTTTCTGCAAGCTCGAAAAATATCTCAAAAATATTTTTAAAAAGGGAATAAAACTTAAAATCACTGTTCAAACACAACTTGGGGYTTGGAGGATATCTGAACATTTGAATAAAAGAAACATTATCTGCATTTAAAAATTATGTTTAAGCATTAAGAGATTTATTTTTAAATGCAATGTACCTCAGTAAATAATCTGCATATACAGCTGGTTCTGGCAACACCTGTTCTAGCAAAACTTCACCTTCTTCACCTTTTGATTTTAGGTATTCACAAAGACCTCTCCAATATAAAACATTCTCGGCTGTTAAATCCTCCAGTGGAATCAGTTTTCTAAACAAAAATAAAATATTAAGAGATGAATAAAAGAGTGTGTAAAATAATAAATACACAGAAGTATTAGAAAATAAGAAATAAAGCTTATTTCCTAGGATGCAAATAAAATCCTGTCAAATATTTCCCCACAGAAATAGATTGAGAAAAATAACTTCCACTCTCTTGAAGACACAGAGCTCCCCATTTCATCTGCATTCTCAGTATTTTAATTCAAGGGTGCTCATACCAGTTTGCAGAAATATTCTGCCCAACACTTYAGACTTTCTAGAGCAAAAACCCCAGTACTTTAACTCTATGAAACATTGTTATCATTGCACAAGTCTGGAAAACTGAACAACATTGATCTGCAGAAAGAGCATTAAAATATTTTTCAGCTTCTGTCTGTGAATTGTTTCTTCCATTCTTAATACAAGGTCTTCACACAATAATGGAGGAGCAATCACAGTACGTCAAATACAAAATGTAACAAAACTGCTTCTCAGCAACTCTGTAAGCTCATGGTCCATCTTCCATCATAGGTAGAACATCCATCATAGGACCCCCCCACTCCTTTTTAGATTCACAGTATTTTTCATGCCAAGCATGGCAATTAATCTTTGTTTTCAGAACAAAGATTAAGTTGAAGAACATTAAGTTATGCATTGTTTCTACCTCAAAACAGAAAAGACAGTATCACTGCAGTGGTAGTTTTTACTCCCTGAATCCCATTTTACTTGTAAACTTATCAACAACAATTTTGGTTTTGCTTTAGATTGTTCACATACAAAACAAACAAAAAACACCCAAGCAACATGTAGATGAAAACTGATCATTTGACAGCTTCTCATTAAGCTGGCAGGTCTTTATTTAAATGTAAATTTAGCAAACAGAAATGACAGACTTCAAAAATCTAACCATTTATCATTCTGATACTGTATCACTCAAGCTGTACTCAGAAACTTCATACAAAAACAACCCTAGTATTTTCCATAAATTAAATTAATGTAAGCTTCATTATAAACTGAATAATTTAACTTACTTTTCAAAATGTCATTAGTCTATCTACTACTACATTAGTCTATCTACTATTTAAAAAATCCTTAGACCAGCTTTCAGACTGGAAGCTTTGTTTTGCTCAGGATCAAAGCCAGACCAATGACAGTGAAATGATTTTGAACAGTGGTAGGAGTCTAATCTCAGATAGTAAAATGAAATGACAAATTGTCACTGATTAAAAAGTGATAGCAAAATCTTACTCTATTATGGGGGAAAATACACAGTATCATATGAAATGCCTTGCATTCTAGTTAGTAGCATGACAGATGTTTTGAAATCAGTAGATGCTATATGCATTGCTCTCCAAAGCCATGGGCCTGTCTGGTTTTAAAATGAATCAATAACAARTAGTGAAATAACTCTTTTATTCTCTCTCTGGAAATGTGCCAATATCTTAAGASGTTAAAAGTACTTTAATTTTATATTCTTATACAAAATATTCATCTTCTGGAAATGGAAAATGCTCTGCATACCTGCTGTCAAGGTTTTTACAGCTCTGAACAATGTCATGAAGTGGAGATAATGAGAAAATTGCACTGAGTACTGGGATGGCCACTTCTGGGCAGTCTTCTACATCCAGTCTATGAAGCAATTCTAAAACCTCCCCTTCAGTGAATTGTAACCAGGCTTTAAGTAGCTTCTTCTTCATTACCTCCTTAACAGCATCTAATAATACAGAAATTTAAATACTTTAAAACAAAGTCCAAAAAATATTAAATGCACTTTCAAAAAGCATTTTCCTATATAAGTCTTTTMGCAAAATAGTTATTATAGAGTAAAACTTAACATCACATTAAAGAAAAAAAACCAGTTGAGCAAGAACTACCTATGGCACACCACATTTTTGAGGCAATATAATTTCTCCCCTCACAAGGAATTAAAAAAAATCTTCCATCCAAAAAGCTTTTACAGSTAAAGACAGCACCTCAACCCAGAAAACCTGCAAATGACAAACTCCTGTAGAAGAAAGAAATACTCAGAATCAGAATCACAGAATGGATGAGATTTGGAGGGGCTACAGTGGCCAGCTGGTCCAACTTCCCTCTGCAAGCAGAGCCATCCTAGAGCAYRTGGCACAGGGTTGCATCCAGACACTTCTTGAATATCTCCAGTGAGGGAGACTCCATAACCTCTCTGGGCAATCTGTTCCAGTGCAAGGTCACCTGCACAGTAAACAAGTTCATTCTCATGTTCAGGTGGAACTTCCTGGGCATCAGTTTCTGCCCAATGCTCCCTGTCCYATTGCTGRGCACCACTGAGCAGAGCCTGGCTCCATCCTCCAGGCACYCTCCCTTCAGACACTCACAGACATTGATGAGGTCCCCTCTCAATTGTCTCTTCTCAAGGCTGAACAGGCCCAGCTCCCTCAGCCTTTCCTCATAAGAGATGTATCAGTCCCAAATATTTGGGTTGAGCATTGTTATACACTTGCTCTGTTTCTGGAATTGGCTACTTTTGGAGGCAGTATACTACATTTGAACTGATATACAGAACTCTTATGCTAATTCAATTATGCAAAATGGATTATGAAGTTTACATAATGCTGTTTTAACTCCCTCCTCACCACTGCCACAAGAAACAAACAGTTTCTGGATCAACACAGTACTATTTAATCAAGGTAAAAGGAATTTATGGGAACATCTAGAATACATACATCATTAATGCATTCACACAGCCTTAAGCAGGGAAGTTGAAAGGCTAATAGTGTGATGGAAGTAAAAACATAGTAACTAGGGAGAAAAAGAAGTATGGTCTTAGGATCTTTCAGAAAACAATATCCAGTAGAAGGGAAACAAGGTCCACATACACTGACAACATTCATCTTTCCTGTTATATGTAACTCATRATAATAAATACAGCACTTAAATATACTAAGAGTTCAAAAAAAAACAGTAAAAATGCCTTGAAAAAGCTAAATTAGGGTCCTAAGAATAAGAAATCTCTCCAAGAAGATGAAAACCATAAACCAGTGGAATAAAGTAGGAGTGCTGAACACACCCTGAAAAGTAGAAGCAAGCAGAATCTGGATTATGTATTCTAGATCTTATTTGATTATACGCCCTTATTCTGAAGCCAGTATTGAAAAACATTCAAAATATCACTATAAGTATCTTGAATGAGCAGGTTCCTCGCTTGTTAACTTGGGAGTTAACCCCAAATAAGCAAATTCAATAAAGATCTATATATTCAGGATTATAGAATTTGCAATATTTGCAAAATAGAAGAGCCAATTTGGAATATAAACCTATTTTAGCTGGCAAAGAGCATAGGATATCAAACTAGAAATCCTGRACGATGTTTTCCCCTGTGATTCTAGGTGTCAAGAAAAAGAAAAGTCCTGAATAGCTGTAATGAATAATCATCCTAAGGAAGAGACAGACACAGAGAAAAAGTATGTCCTGGATGATAAAAGAAGGCACTTCTTTATACTGAACACCTCAATGTCACTGAAAAACATGCCACATAGAAAGGCTGTACTTTCTCTTTAAGGGAGTACAACAAGTGAAGGGTCACATGAAAAATTAGTGAAGGTAGCTTCCTCCCCAGTTTGGAAAGATCACCAAGAAAAACTCATCCACCCTAAGAMAAAGAAGTATCTCTCAAGACCAAGCATTACTGGGGGAGTGTTGGCAGCCAGCAGACAAGCAGTAACTAGTTAAACAGCAAACTAGTATATCAGTAAGAAACAATAATTCAGAGCRTGGGCTTTACAGCGCTAAACTTCAAAAACAGAACATGACAAACTTCATTAGGATACTACAGAACAATTCAGGATAGATGGGGCAAAGTGCTAACTAAAACTTCTTATACAGTTATAAAGTGYAGTTCTATATGCCACAAGAAGCTGATTGTCTCTTCCTTTCTTGTCAAGAAAATAATATGATTCCCTAGCTGATGCCTTAGGATTTTTAGTTTCAATATWTTCATGCRTCTCTATTCTTGTTGTTCTCTAGTACAACACTAAAACTACCATTCTCCCATCTTTAGACAAAACAATCCCTCTCTGAGCCTGAATCCAAGGACACCTCACTGCCCCAGAGCCCCAAAATATGTAAACAACAGTGAGYTGGGGGGGAAGCAAGTTTGGGGTGSTTGACATCATGACCTGAAGATCATTGGAGAATTGAGGCCCAATAAGTTAAYAAGGCAAAACTTATAAAAGGTGAAGATCTCGTGACTCTGTGTCCATTTTGGGTGAAACCTCAGGACGAGGCTTTTGTCTGCCCTAACGTACCATAAGGCCTGTTAGGCCTGTATTAAAATTGTCTATTCTCATTCTCTAAAGTTTGTCTGGCCTCTGTTTCAGATTAGCCTGATTGATAAGGCCTCATAGCCAAAAAGAAAGGCATATCAATAAAAGCACATACATGCATGACACACCTTTAAGAGCTTTAGATACCAATGAACATAGTGCTGTTGTCTTGTATTCTAAGTAAATATCCTCACAGCTCATAGTTCTCCCAGTTCCCAAGCAGAACATCACTCAGCAAGGGAAACTGGCAGAGTAAAATTCAACAGGGCTTAGTGCAGACCTTCCAAACAAAATAGGGGTCAGTAAAACTGGTAGCTTCTGTTGTGAAATTCATGTATATAATTGCTGGTGTTGGGGGACAAAAAAGCCAAAACAGTGTCCAACGTAGGCAGGTCAAAATTTTGTCATTCAGATGCATGTGACCTTTGGATCTTTTGGAAACACCACTATACACAATTATGGGTACAATACTGAATGGCTCTTCTAGAGTGGCATTTTTACTGTACAAAAGAAATAAAAAAAGAATAAACCTGCTTCATGGTAAAATGCATAAGAGTCAAAGATTCGTTAGAAGAAAATTCAAACTAGTTAAAAAAAAAAGCAACTGAGAAAATTACTCTCTGAAAGCACATAAGAAAGATTTTCAAACTGATATTAATGTTCACATTTAAATTACTTAATACATTTATTATTTATAAAAATATCTGTAATTAAATGTTTCTGAATACACAAAATTAATTATATTTTTCCACTTCTGTGTTTAATTAGATTATCGGTTTTAAACTTTAATAGTTTGGTCTTATTTTAAAGCTCAGAGGCTTTCAGATTTTTTAAAGGACAATTCTTTTCTCRTTTGTTCTCTAGAAGAGGACTGGAAAACCAAAGCAGCAAGCAGAATTTCATGCATTTAAACATACCTCATTACTCCCTTCAAGCTCTTTATTACTGCCATCACAACTTCTGCATAAATCACCTCAACACATTAGAAAGTATTCTCTCTTAAACATTTGTACTATGAGATTAAGAAAGATACGATCTCTTACCAGATCTGTCATTAAGTCCTTGTTGCAACAATTTAACTCTCTGTGCTATTGTCAGAGCTCTCATGTGAACTTTTTCTGCCAAAACCTGAAAAATAATTACACATTAAAGTAGATTTCCACGGATGATAACAAACCCATTACCTACATATGGTTTTACACATTGAGTTTTAACCATTCACAAAAATCCTAAATAAGTAAAAATCTGTAATACCTATACCCTCAGCACTGTACCAACACATTAACAAGCAGATCCTCGTGCATGGACGAAAATGTAAAGTAAAATTAACAATAARGKTAACACATCTGTTGTAAGCTCATCMGCTCTGCTTGAATGTAGCACATGGATATGAAACCTATCTTCTCTCTTTAAAGTGCCCAAAGCAATTAATTACAGAAGTAGGTACTTCTCTTAAAAAGCCTACTAACACAGAGATTCAGTTAAAAAAAATTAAGATAAAAAAAAGCAGAAGATGGCTCTGTGTGAAAAAATTGAACATTTTGTCTCAAGATCTTGCCTAAGATGCCTGCATAAGAAAAAGACATGTTAGCATACTTTCTTACTTCTACATGTAAACATGAATAATGACTGATACTTCTCAAAATTGTAACACCAAAACCACACATTTTTTTACTACAGCTGTGGTCTAGCATCTCTTATGCAACAACAGAGAAGAAAATTTCCTTCAACATCTCAAAATGGGTAGATAGAAAACAACAGATTACATACCTAATTTATACTGTTACTGTCTGATCTTCAAGAGACTAATTTRCCACAAAAGTAATTTCTATCAAGCAAGTCCTGCGGACAAGTTCAGCAATTTTAACTAGAAAACTAGTATTAAATGACTCCCCTCAAAATGTTAGTAAATKAAATTATTTAACTGTTCTTAGGGTTAAGTGAAATATGATAAAAGATTTAAAGCCTTTTTCCTAAGTCAACCTTTGAAATTAATGTTAAGTGATCCAACTTACCTCATAAGCCAGCTTTCTGACAGCTTCAYTTACATCCATAGTGCGGCCTACAATAATTGGCAAAGTCCTTTCTGTTGGAGCAATACATGACAATACTGCACGTCTCACATCTGAGTTTGAATCATTTTCAAGCATTGTGCTGTAAACTGAAAATAGCCATAACACTTTCATAAGAGTTTGGAACATAGAAAAACAGAAAATACTTCAAAAAAAAATTTTCAAAAAAGGAGCAGCTGTTGCAATGAAATAATGCTTGCAATCCTAAGTAGGATCTTCAGTTAATAACTCCAAAAATTGCTACTCTAGATCCCACCCATAAGTAACCACTTCRTCATTTACTAGGGATAAAAAAAGCATTTCCTAATATTGGCTCTTTAAGACCTCTATTCACTAGCTGTATCTCTTTATTTCCTTTGAAATAGATCCTCAAATTTTCCTATGAATGGRAAACTGCAATCTCCATTAAACCTATCAAAACTCTCATGGTAAATCTSTCACATAATGCTTTTTTATTTTATTCTTGAACCCTGTTCAAAATTAAAACAACTATAAAATTAATTTAATCTGAGTATACATTAATTCATCTTGCTCTGWGAGACAATCATTAACTATGTATGTGCTGCTAAATAAGTAACCTATAAACAAACGCTTAGAAAATAAAATTTTAAAGAAGGTACCTGAACAACAGAAAACCCCCACTAACTAATTCTTCCCAAAAGACAGTATGTAAAGATTAATCAGAGCACAATTTACATACCAGCTGCGCTGGTACAAACCTACACTTTGTCTATCTTGAGGCAAAGGAAGTAGAAGCTTAGTCAAGAACCATACCTTACACAAAGAAACAGCATCAAGACACCTGTGTTGCAGAGAAGCTGATCTCTTCTAGAAAGCGATCGTAATTTAAGATGATAGCCTTAATCTCTTTTCTAAGAGTTTTTGTACTACTTCAATTCAATTAATAGTACCAAAGGTTCCTTAGAAGGCAAGAACTGAACTGAACAAACATGTATTATAACTCCATTCTAGCTTACAGCACATTTTCACAATTCTACTTCTACAATCAGTTCACAGAGCAACCTGAGCCCAGTATAATTGTCTGGCAAATCTCTCTTACGAGTTCTGTTTTCCCCTTGAACACATGATACTTYAACCTCCCTGGCAAAGAGTTTCACAGTTTATAATAATACTCTCTAAAATCCATTTACTTGATGCTTAAAAAAAAAAAATTCAAAAAAACTTTAAAGTAAAATAAATAAACCAACATTCAAAAAAAAAAAAAAAAAAAAAAAAAAAAAGACCGATACTACTTACTGTTAATAACAGGACAGTTTTCATCCTTGGGATCTTGAAGTCTTGACAGGGCCAAGACAGCTTGAATTCTCACACTTGGATATTTATCTTTAAGTCTTATCAGCATAGCTTCATTAATTTTATCAAATAAGTCATCATCAATCTCAGCATTCTCTGGCATATTTCCCAAAATCTTATTAACAAGCTGACATGTTCGAAACCTAACTGCATGACTGTTCGCATCGTGAGACTTAAAGAAAGAAAAAAAAGGTATTCTTATAATCACACTTTGCTCATTTCCAGCCTAAGGCTATTAATATGCATATCTAAGCAGCTAATATCCTACAGAGTAGATGAAATATGCACTTCTATGTTTCAAAAGCTTTTCCAATTTAATTTTCTTCTTAAGATTAAGAAGTCACAGAACTGAAAAGCAATTACAGMCCATCGCCTGGATCAATAACTGGAGAAAACCAGCAGTGCCTTCCCAAAGGAAGCAGCACGCTGACCACTCCATGCAGCCTGCAGTGCATTTGCCATCTTACTGCTCTGACTCCGTAAAACATTAGAAGACAAAAAGGACATTAGCAATAATGACTATTCATCTTGGCCTGACCAATAATCTTTCCATGGCAAATSAGTAGTTTAGGAAAATGTAATTCTATTTGTGTGTTCATGCTATTGGAACTCCACCTTTCTATATAACACTGTATAATATATATATACATAATATTCCTACGTAAGCAGAAAGGAATAATATATATGCCAATCATAGTTACACAGAAGGTCTTTTAGTAGTTGTGTTATCAAAGAAACAGTGTAAATTAATTTCCACCACAMTTCCACAATTTCATGCTTATAAATGCACTGTAGGCTTATAACAAAGCCTACAGCGACTAGTGGCCTACAACTAATGGCCAGATAGGAGAAGATTCACATTTTCTCAAAGGCCCAACTTCTGAAATCCCATTTTTGGTTATTGTGTGAGATGTGGTGCATTTGTTTTGTACTGGGGCAATGGCGATGGTAATACTTGTCATGCACTAGCTTTGCTTTACTTTGACTTTTTAAGTTCTAATTTGTAAGTATCATCTTAAGCACCAGTAAGTTTTCCCCACTGCTAAAAGTTTCCATTTGTTACATTAGACATTTAATAATAAACGTTACTGTACCTCAAGCAGAAATTTAAACACATAATTCAGAAGTAAATTATCTTCTTCTACCTCCTCACTACCATCTTCTTTTTCCATCTGATAGAAGGAAGTAACAAATCTAGCTGCAAAATTGATCACATGTTCCACTGCTGGCTCTCGTCTGTAGATTATCATAGCATACTTGAGGAAATGAATGAATTTTTCATTAAAGCCTTCTTTATCATCCAACTGGGAAAAGGAAAAAAAGTCAAATCACAACAAAAGATAACTATCCAGTTCATCCTTCAAAGCTGTACCACAGGAAAATAAAATAAATGGGTTAATAATTGACAGCTTCCAATTAAATTTAAATTGTTAAAGAGCAGTCGGGGCAYGCCCCCGTCGTGCTCTCCTGAGTATGTTGTTGAAATTCCACATTACAACCGCTGAGCTCCACCCGGTTGACAGGTTTCAGGACGACAATCAACATCCCCGTCCATTACATCCTGTGTCACATCTACATCTGGGTATCCAAATACCTTCCCGCGGCATATACCTGCGGGCAATACCTGCGGGCAGTTCCTACCCCCGCATTCGCAGAAGACAATTGTGAAGAACAGTTCAGCCGCTGGTTTTACGGCATTTGGGTGGGTTTTTTGGGGAGGGCTGGGGGTGCTTTTTATTTGTTTGTTTTTACTTAACGGGCTCTCCTTGGGCACACTGGTGTTCGTTTTAGGGGAACACTGCGGAGGCGGACCCTGCCCCCCGAGGGACCAGCGGAGCCGCTTGGRGCCCTCAACTCCCCCCGCGCCGGGCAGCCCGAGGGCAGCCGTACCTGAGCGTAAGTGCTTTTCAGAGCCACCACGAGCTTCGCGTGGTTCTGGTGAGGCTTCTGCGTCAGCTCAAAGGCTTCCTGGACCTGCAGCAGCTTCTTTTTGGCCTCCATGGCCGAGGAGCGGCTCCGGGACCGAGCCCTGCGAGCCCCGCGCGCGCTCCGGCAACGGCCACAGCGTCCGCGCGCGCAGCTTCAAACCCAGCGCGGGAGCCGCTCCCGATCTCGCGAGAAGCTGGGGCGGGCGCGCGCTCGCGGGCGCGCGCTGGAGGCGGGGCACGGGATGGCGCGCGGCCAATGGCGGCCGTTGGTGGCGAGCGCGCGCGGGCGCCGCCATCTTCACACAGTCAAAGAATGAATCGGGCTGGAAAAGAGCTCTGGGATCATCGAATCCAACTGTGAGCGAACACCGCCATGTCAACCAGACCACGGCACCGAGTGCCACGGCCGGGCATTACTTGAACACTTCCAGGGATGGTGACTTTACCACCTCCCTGGACAGTCCACTCACCCTTTCTGTGAAAACTCGCCCTAATCACCGTTTCTGTGAGGAAATTCTTCCTAATGCCCAGCCTTCAAGTGACGCATTTTAAAACTATGTTCCTCGTCCTATACCTGGTTGCTGCGAGCAGATGCCGACCCCCATCTGGCTACACTCTCCTATCAGGTAGCTGAAAAGAGTGATAATATCCTCTTGAGCCTCCTTTCCTCCAGGCTAAACAACCCCTTCCTCAACTGCTCCTCATAGGATCTGTGCTCGAAACCCTTCACATCTCCCCTTGGAGTAGGCTGGGACGGAGAGGGATCRGCTGGGGCCGTGCGGAGCTGCGGTTCTCCTCCGGCTGTTCCAATGTGGGAGCGGCTGTTCCAAAGTCCGCGCCCGGGATCGGCCCCGCTGCGGCGCGGGGGAGGCTCTCCAGAATTACATGGGCGCAAAATAGTTGAATACGCCTGACAAACCTTCTCCCAAAGTCCTCTCAGGACGTGAGCATCAGGGAAAGACAGTACAGTCAGGATTTGTAAACCGGAGCAAATGTGGCAGGAAACCGAGAAAGCTGAGCCGCTGCCTAAAGAGTGAAAGCTCATTGAAACACCGTGTGCTCTGCATCCGCTGCGAGGGGGCTGAGAAGGCGGGCASGGCGGATGCGATACTCGTTTGTGCTTCTTCCTGACTGAATCCCTTRCTAGTGGAAATCTCCCCCAAGTTTTCAAGCATTTCTTGGGAACCTAATTCTTTCCCAGAATTCCTTTAACTTGCGAATAGTAATAAACCACGTATTTCATTAAAAATAGGAAAGATAACTAAGCTCAAGCTCCAGAGCTGCGTACTGTGAGCATTTAATGAACGTACCGTGAGCATTTAATGAGACAGCTAACGAGAAACGAGCCCGGGGGTGATTAGCTGAGGGGAAACATTCTGAGCRTAAATAAATTACAGAGTTACAGACAGCATACAAAAAAGTGAACACAAGCCTGGACAGCAGGAACTTATGGTGTTTGACGTCTATCTATTTCGGCTTTAAGAAAAAAAAGTGCCTGATGAACCTCAAGGGATGACAACTATTTGGTAAGGACAGGTGACAAACCGTCAAATGGCAATAGGTCAAATAGGCAGAACCTGTCTTGAAGAAGGGTCTAAGTTAAAAAAAAAAAAATTAAAAAAAAAAAAAAAAGGAAACACTAGGGGTCAGTCTTGTTCCAGATCTGAATTTTCCTAGTGTTTTATTTAAGAAGCAAATTTTTATCAACCAAATAATTGGAATTATTTTCTCTTTACAGTGGTGTCAAAGATTATGGGATATATATGAGCTGTATGTGAAGAACTGAGGGCAGCAGCAGGAGACAAATTATTTTATACATTAAAAAATTAAAATAATTTAAATATGTGGCAGAAGGGTTTTTTTCCTGACATGTTATACTACCAAACATTTGTGTATGTTTAAAACAGATACCTCCTTTTAAAAGATGAGTTGTTTGTATTTTTTATTCTAAAACATACATATCAGGCCTAATCCTCTTCTTTCTCCTAGAGAGTAGGAAATAGATTCTATATGCACAAAYATAATAGTAATATAGAATCTTTCATGTTAACATTTTTCTGAAAGTTTACATTTTATGTTGGAGAAATAGTCACTCTACAAAACCACTATAATCAACAGCAAATCTTCGTTGAGTTGGGCTTTTTTTAAGGTTATATTTTCTGAAGAAATACAATGTGTAACAATACTTTTGTTTAATGTATTTTTACTGGATAATTAACTTCATATAGCTTTTTTCTGCAATAGAACCCTGTTTGTGGACAGGAAGGTGAGCAGGTAAACCTTTGGGGTTCTTATGACTTTAATAACACAGGACATTTATTTTAAGTGAAATAATAATGCAAACTGAATTATTTTTCATTCACATGTTTAGAAGCCCATTTGTGCCTACCTGCGTCTCAGGTCTACAGAAGAATATCTTCACTGGGGGATACCTGATAGCCCCTTTTGGTGAATTTCATCTAGGATGTGACATTTGTTTCTTCTTTTGCTTTACATTTTTCTGCTAGGCTTTTTATTTACAGGTAGAACTAGAAAATTCCCAATACAATTCATATTTCATGTGTAGGTAAATAACATGCTGAAGTAGGATCACAAATGCTGGCCATATTTCTGTAATACCAGATAACTTGTTCAGCTGATAGAAGTGTTGCCATCATAGTTTTTACAGCTTACATTTCAGGGCCTTGACTGCACTAATCAGCRTTAGTGAGCCTGACCTGCCTCATCTGAGGTCTGAAGTCACAGCCTTTGCCTGTAGGGCCAGGAACCCATTCCAGCCCTGCCCTGGGCCTTCAGTCTCTTGCTGAGTGAACTCTCAGGACTCAGTAAGGACCAGCTACTTCTTGAAGGATGGACATAATGGCTGACTAGAAGGGCAAGGATATAGTGAAGGCCCAGAAGTTGTAGCCAGTGGGGTTTCATGGTTCTATCTGGAAAGGAAAGGAATGATGAAACTCAGAACCTTGCATGGTCCTCCAGGCTCTGGAGGGAAATGCGCTCTACTAAGTGCAGCTTTTTTCCTTGTCCTTTGAAGTAGTGACCTTATCTGCCATGGTCTACTTCTGACTCACTATTCTAGATCCTTTCTCTTTCCTTTGTCAGTTCTGTTATGTGAGCAAATACAGTGCCACGGGGTAAGCCAAACTTGCTGCATGCCAGTTACTTTGTGATAATGTTAGATGTAGGTCATTGGATAAAAAACTGGTTACAAAAAAATGGAAGTTGATGCTATCCTGTTAGGCGTTCAAGGACTTTCATATCTGATGTGTCTGGTTGGTTCCAGTTTCCATATTTAAACACACACAGAGTAATGTTTCATCCATAATCAGGCCATTATTACGCAACAGAATCAGAGCTTCTGTCCACCACATTCCTCCAAAACTTGCATATGTGTAAGTCAGCTATAAAATTGTAGATACATTTTTGAATAGTTACTATTTTCAGTCAATGAGGAAATCAGTAGCCCAYCTGTTGCTTTTGGAATCCTGTCTGTTTTATGAGATGGGAAGAAATTAAAAGTAGAAAGTACTTATATATAATTTTTTATTTTATATAATTTATATATATAATTATTATCATATACATTATATATATATTTATATATATTATATTTATATATAATTATTATATATATATATATAATTTTTTATATGTAATTATGTATAATATGGGTAATTATCTGAGATGTATCAGTGGCAACACTTTGTCATTTTTCTTATACTCAATCCCAAACCACATTTTATTACAAACAGAATAGTGAATTAGGTGAGCAGGATAACTTTTATGAGTCTTCTGACTATTATTTATATCCTTATTTTAATTTTTTTATTTACCCTGTAAAAAAGAGAAAATGGTTTCTGAATTCTCTGTTCTGGGGTCAAAAAGCTACTCTAGGACCAAAGTGAATGTAAGCGGAGATCAATAATGAGGGTAGTGATTTAGAAATTGGAATCTCACTTAGGGGTGCATCTTCCTTTGTTGACCTTCTATTTTGAGACGTTTTAAGTCAGTTTTAGTAATACAGCTTTATCATKTCAAACAYAGAATCATAGGAAGGTTTGGGTGGGAAAGGAYGTTGGAGATCATCTAGTTCCAGCTGCCATCCCAGCACYGCCATGGGCAGGGATGCCACCCACTAGCTCACGTTGCCCAGGGCCCCATCCAATCAGATCTGACAAAACATGACAGTTAATGACTAACTGTGYTCTTCTACCATTTTCAAATGCAAACTTTATTGGACTGCTAAACAGCAGCAGAGTGTAATCTGGAGGATCAGTTTAGTTTTGCTCTCGTGTATTAAATCCCACTGAACTTAGTAGAACTGGTATTCAGACRAAGTGAAAGAATAGGGCTGTATTAATTGTGTTTTGGGAAAACTGTTTCTAATATGTTAAACAAAGATACAAATTTATGTATTAAACATTTGCAACAGAAATACCTTTTTTATGTCTTGGAATTTGGGGATTTGGCTCTTTTAATAGTAGCTAGTCAGGAGATTGCAGATATAGTCTGGATATTCAACAAGCAATAGGTCCCAAATATGGAAGGCTTATAGTCCTTTGCTTATGTGTGGGTTGTTTGTTTTTTTTTGTTTTAATGAAAAGGAAATTAGTTAATGTCTTAACAGCAAAGCTACAAGCTGATTGCAGCTAATCAAAGACTTATAAAAACTGTGATGACACGACCACTCTCTTTCACAACTTACCAAAACTAAGTTGGCAATAATAATTCAAGCAGAAGTGTACACATTTTTGTACAGTTAGACTTCTGTTTTTTTATTTTAAACTGTCTTTGCCATGTACTGCCCCAAATTCACAAATACTCTGTAATCTACTTGTGTTCCATGTGATTCTCACAAACCCCTTATTAATA